AATAAGCGTTTTTTCTATTTTTTCTATTAAGTTTTTTTAATTTCTAAATTGCTAATTACACACAAAAATTTTGAAGTGGTAGATCTGATGCTTTAGAGAGAAATAATTTAAAATATTAACTTCATATGGTTAATAAACATTTATGAAACTTTTATAGAACTTGGATACTTGATAAAGACCAAAATTTTTACATTAACTAACACTTAATGAAAAACTTTGATAATATGATTATATTTTTAAATTTCAAAGTAATTCTATCCCATTTATGATAGTCTTTTGGCTGAAGATCATCTAAACCAGGGGTGGCCAACAATTTTTGCCCTGGGCCGAATTGGAAAGAAAACTTTTTTCATGGGCTGAACCAGAGGCTGCCCTAGGAAGATTTTGAGATGTGAGATCTCATTGTGGTGTCACCCCATAGAGACTAAATTGTAGATAGAGATTACAGATACATTTTTCACATTATCATGCTTTATCAACATTCTATGCTGTACTTGAGATTTGTAATTGAGGGTTAACTCTAAACATACAGTGAGTTGTTGACCTTTCTTTTTTTTTTTTTATTTTAGGCGTCAGAATTTTTCATTGAGCAGCTAATATTGAAAGATTAATCGCAGGCCACATAAATTCATTAGACGGGCTGTATGTTGGCCATGCCTGATCTAAACCAAAGTCAAAAGTGATTCTAATTTAATACTTTGGTAACTTCAACTTTAGCTGTTTACTTGATTCATTATTATTATTATAATGATGATGCCAAGTTTTGTAGACTTTCACAATAGTTTTATATTGACCCCCCTATAACATGGTAGATACGTTCCGGTTTTTATGAAATCCATTTTCTACGAGTCCTTAAACACATGAGCCAATCACAGCCCAGCACATATGCAGTTTATGGACTACGGCTGTTTGAAAGGTTTTCTTCCATAAAATTAATCGATTCTAGACTAATTCGACTCAACATTTCCAAAACAATTATAATTTTTTGGGAATAATCCATATAAACTATGCTATAAACAAAAAATTGTAGGATTACTTACCAAGTGTGCACCGTTCGACGATGCCATCGCTTAAGCCTGTTTTTGTCGTGGAACAGTGCATCGAATGGCACTAGCGTACTTCCTGATAAATTATTTTTCTGCGAAAACTATGTTGAACTTTGGAGACATCATTAATATAAATATAATTTTTATAGCCGTTAAATAATAAATGGTTTTCAGTAGGTCCGCTGCTCACTTAAACTCAACAGTTTGTGCAATATCCACTATTGGTCTAGATTTGATCTATCCTGTCACGACACGAGTTGGTGATGACGTTTTACTGAATTATACAAGTCTCTTTTAGCGTGTTTATACGAATATGATTGCAATTTTTTCACTGTTATATAGGAATCCAAACTATATAAACCCGTTTTATAGGGGGATCTACTGTATATAAAACCATCATGAAAGTCACAAACACATACATACATACATACACAATATTTACACATAAAGAACTAAAGGAAACACTAGAATAGCTTAAAAATCATTAAAATGTAACAAATATTTTTCTTAACATTATTGTGAAATAGGAATATATAAGATTTGATAATTTCAATCTCTATCTTTAACATTGTAAAAATGTTTCAAGACTTTATTACTAAATATAAGAACGAAACTCAGTTATAACATTGTAGAATAATGTATCAGACACGAAATGTTTACTCAAACAAAAATCAGATAACTTTAATAACATTTTTGAAATGTAGATTTTTCACTTTCACTTTATATTATTTTACTGCATTATTAATTAAAGAGAATTTTTTGAATTTATTGTCTAAATACTATAATTCAGAACATTTTAAGACAATAAATTCATTAAAAATTTATTCTTTAATATTGTTATTCTTATTACTTTAATAATGTTTAAAAATTATTTAAGTTATTATTATTATTTATTAGATTAAGAAATAATTCATGAGCATTTTTTTTAAATTTAAAAATGCATGCAAAATATTATAAAATGTATTGGAAAAATGTCATGTTATTTGAAAGAGAATTATTTACCATACAATGGTGAAATGGTATTCTGCAACATGACAATGCCCATCCTCACATTGCAATATGGCCAAAGCTGTGATTCAAGAACTCGAAAGGGAAGTGCTTCCTCATCCTCCATACTCTCCAGACTTGGTGCCATCAGATTTTCATCTCTTTTGATCGATTTCAAATGCTTTGTGCAGTATATCATTCAATAATGACATGGAATTGAGAATTTGGTTGGAAGAATTCTTTGAGTCATGACTGGGAGATTTCTATTACCAAGGCATTGAGAAACTTATTGAATGATGGAGGAAGTCATAAACAATAATGGCGCATATATAATTGATTAATTTGTTGTAGGTTTGTTTTAAAATAAATTTGAAAAAACACTCACGAATTATTCCTCAACCTCAACCTAATAAATTAAAATTTCATATTTTAAGGAATAAATTTTTCAGTAAAGATTTATAATTAATTTTAAGTAATAGAGATTATGAAGAAATTTTAATCTTTGTTCATGTAATAGATTCTAATTGTTTTTCTTTTATAAAAAAATATTTTTACACTTGATGATAATGCATAGCCATATTTTCATCACTAATATACTTATCATCATATTCACTTCTAAAGTTTAAATTTAAATTCCATTTCCGTTCTTAAATAATAAGAAAATTTTAAAAAGTTTCTCACTTACTGAGATTTTTTTGTTGCTGTAAACTGTATGACTAATTTTTCTGGTATTGCACTATGATGAAGTTTTATCTCATCCTAATAATATATTAAACAATATTTTAATAATAATATTCTGTATTAAAATTAAAAAAAAAAGTAAAATCACATGGTTTATTTTATAAAATAAAGCATATAAAATATTATTATAATATTTAACTTATAATACAACTTACCATTTGAAAATAAGAAGAATCAATTTCATTGTCTGATAGAAGATATAAACTACTTTCTGTTATTATATGTTGAAGTTTTTTTAATGCTATAAACATTCTATAAATATTCAAACAAAAAAATTTATTGCCGGTTATTTAAGAATAAATTTATAGAAGTGAATTTAAAATAAATTAGTTTAAAATTTAGGTTTTTTTTAAACACAAATACAAATATTATAACTTTTTATTTTAGATTTACCTGCTTGCATAATCATTAACAACTGTATCTTTTGATGTTCCAGTTATGGCATCATGATGCTGAAACAAACCTAATGTACGCCTAGATTCAACCAAATCTTCCATCAAATTAATTATTTTTTTAGGATACTGCATCATTTGATTAAACATAAATGCAAATAAAATCTCTGCTCCTCTGAAAGATAGATCAAACTATCACATCAAATGAAGCTCATTATAAATTATATTATTATATTTTAAAAATTGCAAAGATCTTTCTACGGTTCAATTACCTAATAACAATACATATTTAAAGTTAAAAAAATTATAACTTTTTATATAATTTTATATAAACGTATTTAATGTTAATGTATAAAAAATTTATTGTAATGATTCAAAACCTTAAGTAAGCTTCTAAAACTCGATCCATGTTTTTATAGAAAGGTCTTGATGTAAAAAATCCGCTCCAGTAATGATCATCCCGATCAGCATATGTAAAGAAATCACCTGCAAGGGAAGGAAAACCAACTGGCAAATTTCCATCATCAACACCACTTTCTTCTCTAACAGCTGTAAAGTAATCATCTAGTGTGCCAAACTGTGCCTATTAAAAATATATGTTTTGATTAAAACATAAGTTAATAGTACCAATTAAGTGGTTTTTTTTAAATTATATCAATACCTCAACATTCCAATCCTCTTTGTTATTCATAAAATCAAACAGATGCTGATAGTTCTGAAATTGTTGGTCCCACTCCAAAGACTTTTCAAACCTAAAATCATCCCCAAGAGGTACTAATAATACATTGGTACGAAATAATTGAGCCTTTTTCTTATATTGATCTATTAATAATTTAGCCCTAAAATAAAAATTGTAATTACAAATACAAATAATATGTTCCAATTTTATGTAAATATAAATAGTACACACTATCATTAGTTATATTCACTATTAACATTTGTAAATATGTTTCAAATCAATTTTAAAAGTTCCAATTAAATACTTCATTGATATAATACAGATCTATCATAAATAAAATATTCAACTCATTAAATAGCAATTCTACTTATTTTCTGAACCATAGTAAAAGGCCATTTGATAAGTTTTGTAATGTATTTTACAAGTAAATGTTTACAATGTAAATTATAAGAGAAACTGTATGTAATTAAAGTGAGTAGAATCCATTTTAATTATATTAATTACACAACAATATTAACTTCAATAACTATTAATTTAAATGGGCAATGATCAAAATTATCAATAAAATTTGTTATTTCCTTTCTTATTGGGATCACCAGCTGTATTCCAATTAGAAAATTCTTGAGAATTCCATAATCCTGCATCTTCAGGTGTGTAGGAACACTACTGGTAATTCAATGATCCAAAACTTACAGTTTAATTATGTTTATTTCGGTTTAATATTGTGACCATTGTGTTGGCATTGAGACAGCTATGTCAGCAGTGCCCAAGTCAGGATTGACACCAACTATGACTATAGGCGCACAGGAATCTTCCAAATAATTATAATAGCATGAGCAGTGACATACGATAGAATGAACAGACTTGGAATGATGGAGAGTGTCGACAGACAGCATACCAGAAATAACACACTCCAATATGCATTTAACCATAAAACAACTATTTATTCTTCAAGTAAATATATTTTCACAAAAAAAAAATATAAAGGAGAACTTAAACCTTTATGCATGCCTATCAGAGAAAGTGTGTTTACAACTATATACATGGGTCGATAAATACCTGGATTTGTGATGTTCAGTTGAACACCCATAAGAGGGAAAGGCTTGGGGAGTATGATACATCCTGAATAGTCTGCAATAGTTAGTTCAAAGTGGACAAGGTTCGGTAAATGGCGGGAAATTGAAAAGACTGGTGGTGGAGCATGGTGAAATGAGCGCACACTTCAAAACAGCAAGCAAGCAAGCAACAGGCAAGCAAACTCTCTCTTGACCTTCCTTCCCCTCTATTTTTATTTGGGGTTATTTTCCCCTGCTATTCTGATAACTCTATTTGGTAAGATCATGCAGGGAGCTGGTGGTTAGTCCAATCCTTGATTTTTTGTGACACTTCTTTTGATGAGTAGTTTTTATTGGAATGTGTCACAAAGGAAGTATTATTAATGAAAAAATCTTGCAAATTTCCTCTGTTGAATTGATTAATTTGGGCTTAAATATTCTTTTTTCTTGAACAAAAATTAAATAATTAGGATAATCAAATTACAAAAATATTAGCCCAGGTTCTCACATCGTGTTTATTTTGGTGTGTTATGTTTATTATGTTATTTAACCAAAACATAATTAAACTGTAAGTTTTAGATCATTGAATTACCAGTAGTGTCCCTACACACTTGCAGATGCAGGATTATAGAATCCTGAAGAATTTTCTAATTAAAATTTGTTATGTTTTAAATAAATAGGATTTGAGATTATAACAAATCTTATTGACATTCTAAACTATAATTGTTATTTTGATACATTTTACTTTTCACAATTATTTATTCATTCATTCACATTCAAAAAACAGAAAGTAATCTATTTTACATGTCTTATCTGTTACATTAAATTACATTATTATTTTTTAATTATTAGTTGTATTATATGGTTTATCTTTAAACATTTTCTTTAATTATTCATACGTACACACACACAAAAAGAATTTGAACTCTATGTTACTAATCACTTTGACTAATTTGAATTATATTGTTGATAACTTAGCTGGAAACACAAACTATTTGACCTTAAAGAATTTGACCTATATATAATAGGTCAAATTCTTTTTTAATAATAGTTTCTCTGTTTACAGCAAAGTGATCATAACACAACAATTTTATTAATCTCTAATTCTGATCATTATTCATTCACTGCACAATTATCTTCCTTTATATATATATGCACATATATATGCATATATATTAAATAATTATTATATTAAATATTATTTTAAATATTAATTAT